AACCCGACCAGCAGCGCTCCCGCCCCGACCGAGCTCACCTTCAGGTCGTTCTCCGGAAGGTACTTGCACAGCCGCGCTATCTCCACATACTTGTCCAAGTCTAGGGGCGCCATTTTAGAAAGAACTAGCCCCTACAGCGGCGGCGGCAGTGGCAGGGGCTGAAGTAGCGGCGGCAGCGGCAGAGGCCGAAGCCGGAACTCTCCCTACGTCACGTCCGGCCCGTGAGAGACGACTGCGCAGCGACGTAGAGCTTGACCCAGGTCTCCCCGCCGCCTGGACACGCCCCACGCCTTCTCCCGCGGAACTCCGGCAGCAGGCCCGGAGGGGTTCCTTCGGGCCCTTGAAACCTGCCGGGATCCGTAGTTGTCTGCCGCGGGGCGTGCTGGGATTTGTAGTTTTGGTACTAGATACTCCTGTTTTTCCTCCCGTTTTCTTTCTCCAGGCTTTCACCTCTGGGGACCCAGCTAGGTTTTTCCAGGCAAAACAACGAAGTAGGTAACCCTAGCCATTCCTTGGTTTCTCACTGTGACCCATTTAAGCATTCTCTCACCCGAACATCCCTAATTATAAATTAGGTAAGTCTCACCCAGGCCGGGTGGCTTCAGTTGGTTGGAGCATTATCCCCTGAGCTAAAAGGTTGCGGGTTCGATTGTGCGCAGGACACATACCTGGGTTGCCGGTTTGAACCCCGGTGGGGGCATGTGCGGAAGGCGATCCATCGATGTTTCTCTCTGTGTGTCTCTCTCTCCCATAGCCTCCGGTAAGGATTTTTTTAAAATGCTCCAACCAACTCAAGCATCAGATAGCCAGAGTTCAAGTCTTTTACTCACCATGTTATTTTGGCAAAGTTACTTATCCTTTCTGTGCACCAGTTTACTCAGTTACAATATGGAAATTGTAATAACAGTGTCTACTTCGTATGGAGATAAGAATACTACTTACCTTATAAGCTTGTACTGACATTTAATAGAGTTAATATGGAAAGGGCTTAAAACAATATTCTGTACAGAGTGGGTGCAATGTGTTATCTCTGAGTATTGGGTGGACAAGAAAGGCCTTTCTGAAGAGGTAACATTTAAGACTTTAGAGGGGAAAACTAAAGGGAGAATATGCTGTTTCTTGTTGAAAAAACTTGCAAGTGAGCAAAAGATACTACTGTTGTTTGACTTTTTTTTAAAAAATTACAGTCCTTTTTGGAAAGCTGGCAATTCACTTTTCATCTCTGAACCTCAGTAACTGGGAATGAATCTTACCCAAAATACCTTCTCAGAATTGGGACGGAGGACAAATAAAGTGCTTGAAAAGAAGGTGTCACCAGCATCATTGGTTCCCTTGCTGATAAGTTAGTGAACAGGTAGGTAATGAAAGCAGTTGGTATCCCCTTTTAGTGATACCATTTTAGTGAAAATAGGTGGTACTGTTCACATTGCCAAACTGGCATTAAGATGCTCCATTCTGCAGACCCACCTTATTCAATGAACCTCACTGTTGAAATCCAGAGCAGAGAGAGGGAAGCATCCCTGAATGTGGGCAAGGTCTTAGAAGAGGTAATATTTTTTACAGAGCCGGTGTGCAGAGCTTGCTGACTGGAATATGCTATTAATCTTCCTTGCACAAAGCAGGAGGTGTAGGCTCCTGGTTCTGCCATATACGTGAGTTAGTCATTTTAATTTCTCTGGGCCTTGATTGCCATTATAAAAATAGATCTCAAAAGTTCCATCCAGCTCTTTCTGAAATGTGATTCCTCGTCTAAAAGTATAGGTTCCACTATTAAAACTGGTTGCTCTTTCGCCCACAGACCTCTTCCAATTTTTGTTTGTGCACAACTCCACCATGTCACCTTGAAATGGATCTAGCCAAAAGACATAGGGGATGTCAAAGCATTCTGCAGCTCTGAGCAAAAATCTCCATGTAGATGCACATGGGCATAAGGCAGAGCCAACCTGGCCTTGGTTTTCTTTGCTGAAGGAAATCAGAATGACTGACTATTCCTAACCTCCTCTTAGGCAGACAGTCAGTGGAGATTTTCCCATTAATATGGGCAGTCACAAAGACTCCAGATGTTTGAAATAGGGTGTTTGAACAGTGAGGAGAACTCAGACCTCACATTCCATTTTGTCAATAAATTTTCATAATGGTTTCAAGTAGCCAGAAGATTTACCAAGTTGGCTTTTCACCTGTACTATCGAATCCTCACAGCTGCTCCCTCTGGGAGGTAGGTATTACTATTCCCCGTTGTAGAGATGAGGGAACTAGGGCTCAGAGCGGGTAATGAACTTGCCAAATGTCAGGGTTAGATGGTTAGTGCTGGAGTCTGGAATTATTTGAACCCGAGTGTGTCTTTCTTCTTCCCACTAAGCTACCAAAGCTGTACTTAAGGAGCTCCTGTTGTTGTTCTTGGCTGTTTCCTACGCTACAACTGGCCTCAACCTTCCTAAGTGGTTTCGAGATTCTCTAAAACATAGACACAGGTGAGCCACCTATCCATTTGGAGGAAAGCCACAGAGAAGTGATGGTTATGGAGACCAGAGATAAGGCAGATGAATACTTCCCATTCAGGACTGGTGTCTAGAGTTGGTTTATAGCTAGGAAGAACATTACACTTTACGGAGGACCAGCTCTGCACCAGCGCCTGGGTACTGACCCCTTTAAATACATTAGCTCATGTATTCCCCATCATAACCTTGTGATTATGAAATCTTAGCTCCATCCTACAGGAGCGACACCGAGGCCCAGAGAAAAGTATAGATACCCAAGGATAGATACTCTCGTGGACGGACTTTCTATTCCTTGCACTTTTTACAAAGTTACCTAGTTGTTTGTTTTTGTTTAATCTCTCCCTCTCTAGCTCGATTATAAACTCCGGGGGGAGGGGGGGGCAGGACCTTGTTTGGTTTTCCATAGTGCTCGCCATGGTTATTATACACGCTAATTCTGGAGTGAGTCAGCCGGTTAAAGGCGGTAAAACTTGAACTGGCCTAAAGGCTGCGCAGGGAGATTCTCACTGGGGAAAGCATCCTTAACTCTCCCTTTCAGAAACCATTTCCTTTTTTTCTTCCTACCAAGAGGTCATTTATTAGGAGTCTTTTATTTTATAAGGAGTAAAATTAAGTCAAATTAGCTTAAGAAAAAAAAAACTTTTCGCTCACATAAATGAAATGTTCAAAGAGGTAATTTTGGCTTCAGGCATGGCTGGATCCAGGCTCGCTCCATCTCCTGGCCCTCTTAATTCCTGTGTTGGCTTCATTCACAGGCGGCTCTCTTAAGCAGCTCTGGGCTTCCATCTTCGTATCTCACCCAGAAACCATTTCCAGCAGCCGCTGGAACTGGAAATATCCCAGCCCCTCTAGGATATCCCACAACCAGGTCACCCACGTGGACGCCCAACCTCCGGCATTTCTCTTGGTTTTCTGACTCCGCCGGCAGGTTAAGATCCCGAGAAGAGCCCTAATTGATGCCCCGGAAATGAATCACCTATATCCCAGCCCCGAGGACCCCGCCCCGCCCCCTTTAAGGGCGATCCCTGGGGGCTGGATCCTGCAAGTGGGGCGGGGGGAGCAGTTGGCTGCCTCGCTTTTCCGGGTCTGGGACTGAGTGACAGTCTAAGCCCCGCCCACTTCGGGGCGGAGCCACAGCTCGGGACTGACCTAAGCCGCTGCAGGTAATGCGGTCTGGGGTGGGGGTCACAGGACGATCCTGGGGCGGCGGGGGCGACCTCATCCTTTAGGGGCGTGGAAGTGGGCCCGGGCCGGGTTGGGGAGGGCCTCCTCCGGGTCTGGTCTGGGCACATGGATGGAAAGGGGCCGGCCTGTTCTCCCCCGACCCTGTCTCCTGTCCCCTGTCATTGCCACGCGGGGACGAGACTGGAGATATCCCCGCCCACACGAGTTTATCCCACTGAGCTTTTGGGCTTTGGGGACAGCAGGCAGTGGCTTACGGCCAAGGTTGGATTTATCCATTCATCCCCCAGCAATCTCATCCACTTTCTTCATTCGCTCATCCTTCAATTCTACTTCATGCCGGACCCGTAGGTAGGTTTTCTGTAGTAATTCGACAGGCCCAGCTCTCTTGGAATTTAGACTAGAATCTAGTGTAGAGACGTTTTCGTAGGTAATTACATTCACGGTGATCCCTGCAATGATGGTGGTTTAACAGATACCTTCAGAGGGAGAAGGAAGACATTTGAGGATGGTAAGTGGAGAGCAGCAAATGAATGAAGATTTTACAGAAGAGGTTTCATTCCAACCGGGTTGTGGAGGTTACCTAGGAGTTTGCTGGTTGAAAGGAAGGGAAGGAACATTTCAGGTAAGGGAAACAGCAGGAGATGCAAGTTATGAAAGGCCTTGTCATGTTAGAGGAACAACAAATATAGCAAGAACAACTCAATATTGCAAGAAACTGGAGTGAGTGTCTAGAAAAAAGTTTGAGATCAGAAACCTTCGAATGTGATGATGAGTCTAGGGTTTATTCTAGAGTTCAGTATTTGTCAGCCTTTGAAAAATGTTTTTATCTTTTGATAAACATAAGCTTGACCTCTGAAAATTTATTTTGATGTATGCCTCTTCTGCATGAAAATTACAGACACTGAAAACTGTAGCCAAAACACTCCTGTAATTGTGTTTAGAAAGTTGTGTTTATATTTGCCTCTCAAATATACCTTGCTATCAAAGGTTGGTAATGCTTATTCAAATTCATCAGATCCTCGAAATTGGTACATCAACAGGAAAGGTTTTAAAGAGGGAAGCGACCTAATTCTGTGTTTTAGGGAGAAGATAATCATAAATTTCTAAAAAGTGCCTTTCTTTCTTGTATGTAGAAAACACCATGAAGCAGCTGCCAGTCTTGGAGCCTGGAGACAAGCCCAGGAAAGCAATATGGTCTGTAAGGAAGGATGCAGACAGAGAAAAACATAAGTTTTTGTTTCATTTATAAGTGGTTTACTGACACATTTAAACATCTATTGAAAAGGGTAGAGATAAAACTGCGGGCAGGTCGTGGTCATTAGCCTCAAACCATTTGAGAAGGTCTTCAGAGGAAAGGTAGTGGGGCAATAATTATCAGAGCAGATGTTGATTTTATTAAAATCCACTTACCAAGAAGAGGAAGGCCCTGGCCATCTGGCATCCTCAGCTTCAACCCTGTGTCTTCCCCCGCAAGCTGTGACTCATTTTTAAGATATTCAGGGAATCGGCTTTGGATTTAACTGGCTTC